TCCTCGATGAGGCACAGACATGATACAATGGCATGGTGGACAGTGAGAACAGCACCACACGCTGGCATAGGGGTCTGTCGGCTCCATGCAGCAGATGGCCATGGGTGGCATACGTATGCCCAATACGCAACCTGCATAAAGCCAGTTCTTCCCACCGCACACTGCGAGAGCATGACGTCATAAGCCCAACTCGGTTTTTATCGCCCTGAGCTTATTGCCGCCCACCCTGGTCCCAACAACGCTGCAAGTTGCTTATCAAGAAGGCCTTGACTGCCGGCTAGAAATCTCTGGCAGGGATAGGCAAAACCCGGGCATATGGTGCCGCCGCTGCTCGCTTAGACAACGGCATCAGCCAACTCGTTGCCCACGATACCGACGTGACTGGGGATCCAGCACAGGGCAACTCTCTTTCCAACCCGATTCGACCCGTGTCAGGCGTGATTAAAATGTCCTGTATAAGGGGACATGATGGATAAGAAGACTTCAGTGCAGAGAGACTGCTCAGTGAATCTGTAAAAATGGCGTGTGAAGATTCTTCACCAACTTCTATGAAACATATCGCCTTGATAATCACAATTAATTCCGCTGTGAAAGCGGACGAGTGGGCCGGTAACGAGAACGATCGATTGACGGAACTGCTGACGAAAGCACAACCCACGCCATCCGAGGTTTTGGATCCGTCTATGTACGTCAGAGTGTATCCCTTCATAACACGATAGAAGCTCAAGCGCCCTGGATCTCATTACGTGTGGTGTGACGTCTTTTTCCTTATTTCCGTAAGCGAGATGCCAATGAGGGTATGGTCTCTTGCAAAGGAGGAGAAGCCAGGTGGCCTTACTTTACACCTCCAAGAGGAATTCCGCTCTTGAGCAATAAGGCTCTCATTCGGAAACCAAAAGTTTAAAGCGTGCTGCTGCGGCCCATGACGAAGGGAACTCAGCAAACCGAGAAAATACTGCAGAATATGTCAGATGAAGTGGGAACTGCCGCAGCTTCAAGGCATAACGTATGCCGAGCATTTTCCTCCTCGTCGAAAGTGGTGGCTCGTGTGCCTCCGTTAAAAGGCTGACGAAAGGTGATTTGCAAAATGCTCTAGTAGCAATACGAATGGCAGTACGGTGGACGGCATCAATAACACACTTGCTGGATTCAGACGCATCATCATACACAAAGCATGCATAATCCAGTTTGAAGCGAACGAGGTGAACGATACAAAAGCATAAGCGTGCTTCTGTCTGCCCCATATGATGTGCGAGACACACACTTTAGTACCACTTTAGTAGCGATCAGACAGACACACACTTTAGTAGCGATCGCGTAACATTTTAAGATGTACATGATATGTAAGGCGGCGGTCAAAGTGCATCCCAAGATACCTGGCCACGACCTTATTTAGAACAGAGCAACCATATAGACGGATGCTCAGGTCATCACATCGCTGGCGACGATAAAAATGCATCGCAACGGTTTTGTCGCCTGAAAAACGAAACCCGTTCATGTCACCCCATCTTTCAACGCGGTCCACAGCCAGCTGGAGACGTCGCTCCATCGCTGGTGCCCTCGCTGCAGTGGTCCAAATAGTAAAATCGTCAACAAAAATGGCATGCAAAAATGGCAATGGCAAAAATGACCCGACTGAGGGAGCACATCACAAATATCACTTATCTCAACTGCGAACAGCGCTACATTTAACACGCCGCCCTGGGGCACGCCGTTTATTTGTTGGTACCTATCGGAAGGGACGTTGCCGACCCGAACACGGAAATATCGTTTGGCTAAAGACCTTAGAAGAAAAGTACCCATATGACCACGTATACCATATTTAAAAAGCTTTTGAAGAATACCATGGCGCCATGTGGTGTCATAGGCGGCTTCAATGCCGAAGAACACTGCCCCATATGCGCTTTCTCTTGAAAAGCCTTACGAACCGTAGTGTCCGAAGCTAAAAGGTGGCCCACCGTACTACGGTTTTTCCTAAACCCGCACTGTGAGTTATTAAAAATATCGTTGTTCTCCAAAAACCAGGTGAGTCGAACGTTTACCATGTTTTCCATGAGCTTGGACAGTGATGACGTCAGTGAAGTGGGTCGGTATTGAAGTGGGTCCACCCCACTCTTTCCCGTTTTTAGAATAGGCACCACAACAGCCCCCGGCCAGGCCGGAGGGAATTCACCACTTGAATACACCCTGCTGAAGGCCGCCAATAGTACACGACGTGCACACGGTGGCAGATGTCGGAGCATCTCATTGTGGAGGTCATCAGGTCCTTCCGATACACTACGAAGCTTTCCGATTGCGACTCTAACTCCGCCAAAGTGAAGGGCTCATTGTACGCCTGTGGTTGCCTTGTGAAAAAGTCCACCACGATGTTTTCGCATTGTGCTCTTTGCTGCAAGAACTGTGGGCTCGTGTTTGCACCTTCGTTGCGGTGGGAGAGTGCTTGGGCGATCTCGTTAGCCACATCCAACGGATGAGTCACCACCTGGCCGTAAACATGTAGTACAGGGAGTGGCACGGATGACAACTGCCCAGAAATGTGTTTGATCAGAGCCCAAACCTGCGAAGTTGGCGTGAACCGGTTAAGCGTGTTTACATACACACGCCAGGACTCACGTTTCGGTTCTTGTATCGTGCGACGGGCGAAAGCTGTCGCCTTCTTAAAAGCTACTCAATTCTCCCGGCTACTTCTGGCGCCAAAAGCTCGGAAAGCACGTTTGCGAGCGCGAACTACGCCATGACACTTCTCTGTCCACCACGGCACAGAAGTGAATTGTTGTTATAATTTCTAAAACAGAAAACCCCACCTTGTTTATGCTGAAGTTTCCCAAACCTCGGTCAGACACCAGAGGATGGATGTGTATATATATATATATATATATATATATATATATATATATATATATATATGGCACATACATAGGCATATAAATGAGCTAGAGCTTGGTATTTGATTTTGCAATATGCCTGAGTCATACGTCAAGTGATCCAATGTAAATATGGTCTGAACTTAGACAAATGAAAAATGGAACAGCTGAGTCACGAGCTGAGTCAGATTCCACAATCCGTGAGCCAGTTCGGAGCTGGTTTAAGACATTTGAGCCAAACCCAGGTCTGATGCTAACCACATCTCAAGACTTGTATCCCATTCCTTGCACTACCCGGATGACAACATCTTTTCCAATGCCCTTTAGTCCAGGATATGTAATTATCATACTCGGCCGGTAGGTAACACTCTTCTGTAAATTACGCGCCAGAGTTTCTCTAGGTACGCCTCCCAATTATTTGCACCACTCCCCCCCGCCCCCTCCCCCCCCCTCCACTGACCACCAACCGACGGACCTCTCCGCGCACTAGAAGCAACTCGCATTCAAATGTGAATTGAGATCCCAAAATGGTGAATGTTTGAATGCTTCCCATTGAGATTTGAGAGAGAATTGAGATCCCAAAATGGTGAATGGTGAATACTTCCCATCGAAAAAAGAAATTCTTGACGCCCATCTCTACACAGCCTCATTTCTCTGGTCACCTCGACGTCATAAATCCGACTCGATTTACACAGTAGTGCAGTGGTGTGTAAATCGACTCGGATCCGACGTGATTTACACAGGAGGGCCGTTTTCAGTAAAACGACTCATGAGTCGATGTACACGCTCCCCAGAAAAAGCTTAGTGCGAACCTTCTGAATGGATGGACTTCTATGCACGGAGCTCACCCCACGTAGCTCCTGTTCCGCGTGCCCTCAGTCCCGGTTGACGAGGGCCTCTGTTAAGAAATGCAAAAATCGGATGACGTCATCGCTCGCTGCCTTGGTAGGAAATGCAGTCTGGAAGGGATCACAGTCCTGGTAGAAATTTTGCCAGGTAAAAAAACCTGGTAACATGACTAATTCGCCAGCTTCGTACATGCCATCCGCGTCTCGGGATGCATGATGAGAAGGGAGGGTACAATTCGCACTTTTTCGCTGCAAATGCGTCAGGTACCACACAAGCACGCGTTCTTCGTAAGATGCCGTACAGTCTTGCATTTTCGTGATCTTCTGATTTGTATGAGCTACCTGACGGGGTCGCGGTCAGGATTTATCCTCGGTTTTCAGTCAGAGGGCATTTGCGGTGAAAAAAACAAGCACAAATCCGATCCTAAGGAACCTCCCTCACTTTGGCTGCGCTCCTGCTATTTGAATTTTCATGTATCCTTATGCTGTCGCTCATTCCTGTCGCTAGCTGTCCCCTCTGAATGATTAAACATTCGCCCGATGAAGGAGATTAAACCACATTTACACACGACTGATAAACATGTATTGTCATGCAAAAAAGTCCGCTAAAAAAGAAAGGTGGCGTGCCGGCAAGCAAAGGCGAAAAGGTAGCACTCAGAACACTCGGGGATCAAAACCAACCTGAAAAAGTGCAGGACGAGATTGCTTACATCGTAAACGTAGTGCGTGTAAGATCATGAGCAGTTTTCCGCAATGATAGAATTTGTTTTTGAAATGAGCCTTGCTAACACTTTTTGCAGGTTTATGATGTGGACACAAAAATATTCTTCCTCAAATGTTTTTCATCGACAAAGTTAGCTTTATATTAGTGCGCACATCAAGTTGGAATTAAGATGCATGGTGTGTATGACAACGTTCACGTGCAAACGGTCACCAGCGGCTCAGCTCGTCCAACGGAAATGCCGACTCCATCGCTGTCAGCGGCAGATCCAGAGGGGGGGGGGGGGCACGGGGCCACGGTCCCCCCCCCCCTTGGGCCTCGAAGGGGCCCATTGCCTCCGAGGGAGCCTGTAGCCGTCCGAACAGGTGGATATTTTTTTAACATAAAACGCAACAAAACTGGATGTCTCTGGACTTCCAGGCGACCAAGAACAGTTGTAAGCAAAGGTGAAGAGCCTATGAGAAATCCAAAAAATTATTCAATAATTGGAAAAGTTGTGAACTGGAAAGTTAAGCCCCGTTGCATTGTCTATGGCCCCATGCTGCTTCCGGGGATCTATATGCCCACTTGCAGGACCATTTTGACCGTTAAGGAGCATTCCACGTCGCCCTCCATTTCCTTGCATTTGCTCGGAGGGCCCTGCCCTGTTGTTGGGGCCCTTCCTGTTAGCGTGCCTGGGCACTCTTGTCAATCACTGGCGCTTCCACGGATTTTTTACACACTTGCGATGTGCTCAGGGGCTCTTTACATTGGTCTAGGGTGCTCCAATTCTCTACCACTAGCTTAGGGCCCCGCGCTCTTGTCGAGGGCTTATCTGGTGGCCTGCTGGGTACATTCAATCGTTCGGGGCCCTCCACACTGGGTCTTTGGTACTTCTTTTCTGAATGGGAGGTGGGATACGCTCTTGTGGGGAGACCTGTCTGACAACCTGCTCGGACACATGGGAGGGCGGGGTGGGGATGGGGAAGGCACAGGACCATGCCCCACGGACCATGCCGAAGGGACCTAAAGGCTTCGAAAGGGCCCATAACCGGCCGGACGGACGCAGTTTTCTTACAACAAAAACACAACAAAACTGGGCGCCTTTGGGCTTACAGACGACTAGAACCAATTGTTACCAAAAGAAAAGAGTTCATGAGCAAACTAAGTTTATTCTTCGCTGATTGAGAAGGTTTTGCTGGGGGCAAAATTTTGGGGCCCATTACGCTGTCTAGAGGCATTACGCTGTTGGTTGCCTGGCCCTATATGTCTTTGTCGGGTCTGTCTGGTCGCTAAGGAGCTTTTCATGTTACCTTTGATCTCTGCATTTTCTCGTAGGGCCCAACGCGCTGTTGGGACGCTATCTGCATCCCTGTTCGAGCACTGTTGATCGATCAGGTTTTCGTCCACGGATTCTTCCCATTCGTCCGAAAGGCTCTATACACTTTTTTCCGGAGTGCCATATGCCAGGTACACTCAGTTTCCTCGAGGATCCTTCATATAAGTCTCGGTTCTTTCCACTCGCTTGGAGGGCCTCGCGCTATTGCTGGGCAGGGGCGGATCTAGCTTGGAGTTGTTTTTTTTGGGGGGGGGGGGCGGGCAACCGTTCGTCGCCAACTGGCTAGTGTGGGATCCGAGGTCCAGTGCATGGTGCCTCTCGAGAGTACCTGGTAGGGACACCATTCAAAACCGAAAAAAGCACCGAAATGCCTTTGAATCTTAAACAGAAGTTAAAACACAACAGTCAAAACAGTTCAAGTTAAGACAGATGGTAAGTAGACGAAACTTTTATGAAGCTCTGGGAATGTTTTGGGAGGCAAAAACATACTCTCAGAGGTTTCCGGGGGCCATGGCCCCGTGCCCGCTCCCCCCCCCCCCCCCCCCCAGGATCCGCCTATGTTGCTGGGGCTTTCATAAGATAAGGCACGGGGAGGCTCGATGCCCAGGGGCTCCTCTATTTTGATCGAGGACTCTCTCCCTTTGGTCTCATTTGCGGAGGACTCCTCACTGTTATCGAGGCTCGTGTTGGTAACATACCCGTGCACTCGTTTCTTAAAGATTTGATCGGAGCCCATTGAACGGATGAATTTCTGGGATCAGAGCTCAGTTCACCCAACAAGCTAAGCAGTGCTTGGGCTTGTTGGGTGTCAGTGTGTGTCAGTCAGTGTGTGAGCACTGACACATACCATCCGATCGCACAATTCCAGGCAATGGCAGACTTTAGTGACGAAAGTTGAGCGTGCCGCAATGCTCGGCACGGTCCGGCCTGCCCCTGACGTCAACTGACTTTTAGCGCGACCGCTGCCGCCGGCCGCAGGTCGCACCTGTCAAAGGCAAATAGCGAGCGCCTAAAGCGACTCGAACCCACCCTGTCACCGGTGGGTGGATCGGAAGGCAGGCGCTCTAACCGGCTGAGCCACCGGAAAGGACACGGAACCACCGTGACTCTTGATCGCACAGGGGTATTAATTTATGGTCTTGGATAATTCCCTTTGCTCGGAGGGTCTTGTGCTCTGGCCAGGGCCTTATATGCCGGCCTGCTCAGGCGCCACCGATCGTCCAGAGGCCCACCACATTCGTCTTGGGTTCTTTTTGCTTGCTCTGAGGACCCTGTGCTTGTTGACGGGAGCCGCTTTGCTGGCCTCCTGCGGCACCATGATCGCTCAGGTTCCGTCCCTGCTGGCTTTGGTGCCTTCGCCTTAGAGCAGTAGTCGAGCATGTCCCGATGAATTTGTACGCGCAATTGCTGAAAGTAATTTTAAGTGCCGCGGACGTCGTAGGTGTCATTTCCATTAGCTATTGAGTGTGTGACACTTACTGTACAAGTGCACCACGTTCTTGATGTATACTGAATGCTAGGATGTTGTAATTCTTTATAACAAAGGAAAAACTTTGCATAAGTTATCAGCCATCAGCTGATTACATCGCCTAGCCGGCTAGCCGTAAATACATAAGCTAGGAATGAGTACCATGCTTGGTTTTTATGGTCGTTAGCAGCTAACTCAAGTGAATTTTGACCGGTTGTTCCGAAACACTTAGCCTCAAAATCACAGCATCTAACATGATCCGTAGAAAATGAGTGAGCTCTATGTGTATGCATGCGTAGCACGCCTAGCTTTATAAGGCTGTGCACAGTGAGATAGGTTTCCATTTTTATGAAAGAAATGAATAAGTAAAGATATGTACATATATATATATATATATATATATATATATATATATATGTGTGTGTGTGTGTGTGTGTGTGTGTGTGTGTGTGTGTGTGTGTGTGTGTGTGTGTGTGTGTGTGTGTGTGTGTGTGTGTGTGTGTGTGTGTGTGTGTGTGTGTGTGTGTGTGTGTGTGTGTGTGTGTGTGTGTGTGTGTGTGGTGTGTGTGTGTGTGTGTGTGTGTGTGTGTGTGTGTGTGTGTGTGTGTGTATACGCATAAATGTATATTGCATACGACTTCTCTAAAAATGTAATGACCGAAATGCAAGAATACTTTTTGGAGGGGGGCCCCAAACTCCAGGGGTCCAACAATGTTGCGTGCCCCCCCCCCCTTTGGCGAAACCCTGGGTCCGCCCCTGATCGCTGACAACAGGAAAAGTGCATTTTAACTATATCATTACATGTTTTGGCTGCATGTCATACGTCATGCATTCTACCGACGCCAAAAGATGTAGGCTATTTGAACTTCCATGAAACTCCTAACATGGCCGCGCCAGACGGCAAAAAGGTTTGATACAGCTCAATACCGCAACATGGCATTGATAGCGTGTTAAAGCACATGAATGCCTGCTTCATGTTTCGCAAAAGAGCATGGGCCGAAACCGTGGAAGTTGTGTGACTTCTTGGACGGCGCCGAAATCGCGGTCGAGTCCACCGAGAAGGACCTCGGGATCTTGGTGGATTATAGCCTCGAGTTCCACATGCAGAGGGTGGAAACGATCCCCGAGGCCAACCAGATGCTGGCGGTCGTGAGGCTGTTTTTTTTTCCAACATCGATGCTCGCACGTTGCCATTGCTCTTTAAGATCTTAGTACGGCCGTACTTAGAGTATGGCAACGTCATCCGGGGCCCCGTTCGGCAAACTGGACCGGAAGAGGCTGGAGGGGGTTCAGCGACGAGACACCCGGCTTGTCTATAAAGTGAGGTACCATCCACACCCTGAGAGGCTTAGACTCCTCCAGTTGCCCCTCGCTGTTTTACCGTCGTCGCAGGGGAGACATGGTAACAGTATACCAGCTGTTTTACGGAGGTATGTCGCTGTCGGAAGAGAAGTTCCTGGCAAGGCGTATCTCGGAGGTGACAAGAGGACACCAATGGAAGCTAGGAAAACCTCGAGCTAGGACTCTCGTCCGTCGTAACTCGTTTAGCATCCGGGTCGTCAACAACTGGTATGCTCTTCCACACCTGGCCGCGTCGTCAACTTCAGTTGAACAGTTTAAGTCTAGGCTTGATATGCACCGGGCTGACATCATGTATGACATCCTACACTGAATCTACCCATAATTTGAGACTGTTTGATTACCGGACCGGGAGCCTGACGAGACCGGGACCAACAGGCCTAGTGGCCTTCTATAATTCCCGATCGCCATAAGGTAACGTAAGGTAAGGTAAAGTGACGGTAAAGGAAGGTAAAAAGAGCGCTGCTTCATTTTGAGTTGTGCGATATTTGGTCCAGAGATGTACGTCTATTTGTCGTTGCTGAGCTCATCCTTGCACCTAAATGATGTTTTCACGCACATGTTTTCGCTTTTGGATTTTTAAGGATTTTTTAGGCCGGCCAATATTTCCCAGACTAAAGTGTTTGAACGGAACACCGGACATTTAAAAAAGCCAAGAATCATTATATGACTAAGAGATGAATTTATCCCTCGAACACAGCATTCGGGCGACATCTGAGAAGTGACATGAACCATCTTATCACTGTGTGATCGATTTTTCTCTGAAACGTCTTCGTAGAAGTGCTATGGACGCTAACAATCAATGCTGCATCAGTGATATTTACGAACTTTTACGTACGCACGAACTTTTACGTACTTACGTACTTTTACGTCAACATTGACGTCCTTAACATTGTTTAAGGTTTTTTATATTTTACTGCATGGATGTGAACTGTTTGCTTAGGAATTTTTGCCCTTCCTTCAACCTTTTGCCATTACAAATTTTGTGTAATCTTACCTAATGCCATGAAAACATTTGCTTACAAGATCTTTGATACCGGCTTTTGCGCACGCCCTTTTACCACACACACTGTGAATCATGCGTATTACGCACATTCGTTGACTGAGAACCGTGCATGGATTTACTTAATGTCCTATTAATTTTTCCAAGCGCACTTTCGTCCTAGAGTTTTTGTCTTGGTGACTGATGCAGGTTTCCAACGTTAGTGTTGCCTACAACAGCAGCACACGACTGGCAATCAGTGGCTGCTGGTTCATACTGTTATGGCTTAATTCGAAACTATTGCAATTAGGCTGTGACATCAACGCAACTGAGTGGTAGCGCCCTATGCACACATTTTAATGAGTATGGAATGCTCTCATAGACAAGGCATGTTTCTTGCACCGAACCACGGAGCAGCAACCCCACCGGCGACGCGGCGGTCCCCTTGTCCAAGCCTGCCCTCCCACCCGCCGCGCCCCGCTGGGCCT